CCTTTTCGCAATTTCCTCTAAACAAACACTTGTATTTTCAACATAATTTTTCATAATTTTATAAAGAGGATCAACACTCTGACCTGACTTTCGTTTACGCCCGACGCTTTTTTTTGTCCCCGTAGAACATGTTTGGGTGCTCTCTGACATTGTCTCGTTAACCTCTTCTTCCATTTCAATGTTGACATCGTTCATATCTATATCCCGAGGTTGAGACGAAGAACGAGCGTGGTAGGATAAATTGACATTGCTAGCAGCATCAAAAAGGTCTTCAGCTTGATGTCCCGTCGCCCTGTCCTTTCCAAATATCTCGATCCAGTCATAATAATATGGCCACGACTTGTGGCGTGTGACGAGCATTAGAATCAGCCTGATGTTAAACAAATCAAAAAATTACTATAACAATTTTTCATTACGAGAAAAATTGAAAGAACAATGGCCAAAAATATTGTAGTCTCTTAAACATACCTTCACACACTCAGCCCATGCTTCATCATTATATTCAATCATCATGTCTGATTCATTCCATCCAACACCAGTTCGTGATAGCATAGTACATAGACTACCATAATCTTTCTTCCAAACATGGAATTTCGAGTTGTTATGGGACATACCTCGCAAATCACTACCTGGTAATTGTTTCACCAATTCTTGCTCAATAAAGTTGAGAAATCCCATCTTGAACCCATTTTCAGATTTCCATCCACTCGTGATGATTCCCTTCAGGGCAGCAATAAGAACTTCCTCCTCTCGTTGACTCCAACTTCTTCGGCCCTTATCAGCCTGTGGTTTTCTCGGTTTTGGGTTCATTGTTCCAGAAGATTTCATCATTACTATATTGTACAATTATAAACACACAAGTAAAACAGCCATATACCTTATCAATGAAATACAATATTGCATCAGTATAAATACAAATACAGATAAATGGTTGTACACATTATCAAAGAAACAAAAAATTGCATTCAATATAAATACGTATACATGACTACTCATCAAACATGTAATAACTGCAGAAGCATGAAATTCAAAGTGTAGCAATCAGTACAATTGAGTTTTCATTACATGTCAAACCTAAAGGAATTCATATGTCTCACAATTTGACTTCAATGAAAAAAAAATACATTTCCACTCAATTAATACATCTCCAATCGTTAAACATAGACACAGCCAATGTGTCTCTCCATTCAGACCATTGGTCAGAGCTCTCAATAAATGAGAAGTCGTGATCGTCAGCATCTTTGTTTTGTTTATCTTCTCCGATCATCATTCATGCTATCCACCGGAAGCTCCATCGAGTATATTATGCAGCAACACACAAGCCATAATCAGTCTATTTTGAGTTTTTATATCATAAAATGTTGGACTACGTAGAATCGACCATCTTTTTTTTTCAAAATAGCAAAAGACCTTTCGACCATGTTTCTAGCTTTAGAGTCGGCCATGTCGAAAAATTCGTAAGGGGTCTGAGGTGTAATCCTTCCTTTTCCCTAATCTTTTAAATGATATCTCACACCTTGTATGGACACAAAAAACCTTCACCATTTGTGCAGCCATTATCACATAGGTAATAGTTACCTACAACAGAAAAATTTTATTTTGTTGTTTACTCTTTTTAATATTTACAAACATAAAAATTTGTTTAACAATAAGCTTCATAAGTCAATCGATTTCGTTCATTATTGTAGGGAACTTTATCGAGAAATTGAAAAGAAGATGGCTATAATATATAATACCGAGGCCTGTGTGAACACAGTGTCCTTAAAACAGATTCGCCCTGTATGAGCATCTGTTTCCTAGGATACAACGAAAAAACCGAAACAAATCCGGCGAACTGAAAACTATGCCTGGACCAAAACACTTAAAAAAAATAGGGAAAAACTTTAAGAACTCTTGTATTTTTTAATTTTTCTTGTGTGTTCTTCTCAAAGGAAGACACCACTATTTATAGGACTAAGATAATGTAATCATACATTTAATTCTACATTAATAAACTTAAGTTAAAGATAGTTTCATCTAATAACAGCAAGTTACAAGTTTTTGAAAGTAAAGTGGAAGACACAGTTTCAAAACCAATTCATCAGTTACAATTTTTATTCAATTTTTCCAACAATTACCTCTAGGGATTTTGAAGCCATTAGGTCTATTTATTGCATCTTTAAGAACACGACAATCGGTTGCAGAACCTTCCCATCCACACAAGACATATACAAAATTTAGGACTACTCCTAGTACGTCCACAACAACTTCTCCCATCCTGGTGCGATACCTTGGCTTATCAACTTCCGTTACTATCACTCACTCGTATGTGAGTTCCGTCTAAGGCGTCTCTTATAAAATAACGTTTGCGATTCAAAAATTTGGATTGTTAATCACCATTACAGCATCGTTATAGCAAATTGTTATTTACTAAGGTTTAACATGGAAATATACCTTGAACCATTTCCATCTGTTGTTATTGTTGTTTGAATCATGAATCGGCTCAGGTTTCACTAGGAGGATTGAATAAAGACGCAAAATCGTCGAAAGGACCTCATGTACGTAGATGCTCACAGTATGACTAGACCTCTTAATTAAAGTCAAATTTTACAACCTTCATCTTTTTATGATGAGCAATAATAGAAAGAAAGAGTGCAACCTTCTCTGTAACTGATACATATTTTGAATCAGACAGACCGCCAGCTGTAAGGAGAAGGTAACATAACCTAGCGAAGGCTCCCTTAGTCATCCTCAAATTTTCCATACAATCTAACTCATTCAAGGATACCAAATTGTTCAAATGTTCTACTTGTTTAGGAATCCTATTCGCCATCACATACGTAATTCATTTTCTATTTTCTTCAGATGATTTAGACCTCTGGTCCACTCTTAATGCTACAACCAATACTCATGAAAAATATACTTTCATTTAAGATTTCTTCCAAAACAAGAAAAAGTTCAGCCTTTCTCCTATTAATCTCGGTCATTGTAGGCAATACCTTTGATGATCTTTATGAAATAGCAGTTGTTAAATCTGTACAACAAAAATTGTGTATCATGCATCATTCTTGTGAAAAAAATCCACAACATACTTCACACTAAAATATACAATATTAAGAAAAGTCTCCTTTTTCAAGGTGCAAACAATCAACTTGGGTTAATATATTAGTTAATTTCACCCTTCACACGGACCAATTGGAAATCTACAATTTTAGACTAATATAAAATTTAATACTAATTAAGTACGTAAGCAAAGTCTGGGGAAGCTTTACTATATACCAGAAGCAACAGATAAACACCAAAAAGAAGCTACCAAATTCAAAAGCCCAAAACAATGACATATTTTCTCCCACAATCACAAATCAAGTATGCTACTGCAAGCTATGAAACAAGTTTCATGCACCATCACTACACCCAAACAATGAAGCATGAACCTAACAACAAAGCAAAATATTGATATACACCATCACTACACCCAAACAATCAAGCATGAACCTAACAAGAAAGCAATATATTGACTGAGCACATGGAACAAGTTTATGACAGATAAGAAAATGGGATAAAACAAGTATACATAGGTATGTGATAGAAAATCAAGAAGAGAAGAGAAAAAGAAAGAACCTTTGTAGTAGAAAAAACAACTAATGTTTGATGAACTTCAAGAAACTCAAGAACACAAGAAAAAAACCCAAACGATCAACTCAATGGAGAAACCAAACAGAGTCTACCTGAGCAATCAACTATTCATAGCTTTATTTCTTCGAATAAAGCTTCAAAACCATGTTTGGTGTTTGTTGTGTATTAGCTAAGTATATTTTAAACAAGCTGTACACAAGGCCTACATGAAACCAGTTCAAACAAATATCTATTTCACACATAAATTTGTGTAGCTACATACGGTGAGATTTGAGTTTTTTACCTTAAGCAAGATCGAAACGAGTTGTGATAATTTACACGACCCCAAATTTGAGTTCACCTGGAACGCGTTTTGGAGGGTTCCTCGTACTTCGCGAAGAGATTCCAGCCACGACGACGGAAATAAATTGCCAAAATCGAAGGACGTGAGAACACCTGCTGAAAACAGAAACTTAGATTCCACAAACAATGAACTCGATGATGGCTAGGAGGAAGAATTATCCTTACCTTCGGTCAGCAGTGATGGAAGAAGTGGAAGGAAGACATTTTGCAAATCCTAGTTTTTCGGCGGAGGAGGAAAAATGAGTCCAGAAAATGTGGATCCAATTATTTATGTAAAAGGAAGTGTTGGTAAAATAGAAAAAGGGATTTAATAGTAGGATAGTGTATCCCGTATGAAAAATAGGATGTTGAGTCCATCTTTTTGGCCAATTTACACGCATCCTCTATGATTTACAAATAATTACAAATCTACGATTAAGAGTAAATAATTAGCAAGCCAACGAAATCAACGTTAATTATTTGTCTTTACATGATTTTATCTGTTACCAAAACTAAATGGATTCTGTTCCTTTTTATATGGAATTCTTCATAAAAAAAACAAGCAGGCATATTATCCGTGCATAGAATGAGTCGATTTATGAAAAACATTTTATTGAATTCCNAAAAAAAAAAAAAGCATTCCCTTTTCAACGAAAAAAACAAATAAAACTTCAAATCTCACATAACAAATCATGCGGATTTAGTATATATTCAGTATATGTTGCAATGAAAAATATACACGCAACGAAAACATATACTGAACATACACGCAACATATACTGTCGATTGTGCTTACGGGAACATATACTGAAAAATATATTGTATATGACTGCAACATATCCCATAACATAATAAATCAAATGAAAAAATTTCTCAAAAAAACTCGAAACATCATCAATCATTAATCATCGGAACCTCGTTTTTTAGCAGTAAATCGAAGAGATTGATCTACAGTAACTTGCCATGGGAGGAGACGAAATAAAATGCATTACAGATCTATAACCAACAATTCTTCAAAAGACAGCCTGGAGGTTTATGACCGAATCTCAAAGCCTACCTAGCAGAGCCGTCCAATTCAATTTTACCCAAAATTCCATCGCTGCCATCAAGGTGGAGGAGACGAAGAGAATCGCCTAGGGCGGTGGGTAGATGCCGACCGACGTGTGGCTGTCACAAAAGATCCACCTGACGACCGGCGATCAGAAGCGACGATTGACTCGTTATTGCCGCAAAAGATCCAATCGGCGACAGTGAGCGGAATCTAGTGAAGCAACAATGTAGGAGGCGCTGCATATGGAGACGTCGTGCACTTTTTTCTCAGTCCCGCCATCATCTTTGAGAAAGTGGAAAAAAAAATGAAGTATGGAAGAAAAATAAATGGCGAACATACAAAACAAATTTGATAGAAGAAACTATGAGGAAAAAAAGAAGGGGGGAAGAAAGATCTATGAAACGAAGAAGAAATAAGAAAAAAATAGAGAGAGAGAAAAAAGGAATGAAATAGATTTGTAAAAGGGAAGAAGAAACATGAAAGATGATACCGGCATTGATTTGTGTTCGGGATGAATAAATACCGTATGTTTACAATTAAAAATAAAATCTCGTAGATATACAATTAAAAGTAGTTTATATCATGCTCTAGGTAAATTTCTCCATCTTTTTGTTTGTAAAGGTACCGGGCCTAACCATTATAAAGGGTTTTTCATTACCAACCAAACAACTTAAACTTATGGATATAATAATAGAATGCATGATATCAAGCCCAATATGGGCAACCAAACTGATCTTTAGAGCATCTCCAATGTGGCTTTTGACATTATAAAAAATTATCCATATCATCAACTTTTGAAAGTGTGTTACTAATTTATTCTCCAATACATCTTGTCATGAACTCTTTCATGATGAGGTTGATAGAATTTAATGTTGACAATGTTGAACACCCTTTCTAATATCTAACACTATGTTAAACATGATGACTAATCAATTCACTTTATATTTGATTTAATTTTTATTGTTCTTGTATTAATGATTATTTTAATTGGTCCACCTATACATATAACTTCTTATCAAATTGATGCATTGGAGATACTAGTTTGATTCAAATTTCTGCTCTTTTAACCTTATTCCTACATGGATTAACATTACAATCATTGATTGACATGTGTTAATGTCTTTCAAAGCTATAACATTGGAGATGCTCGTTAACATTTCAAAAGATTTCATTAATTTTTTTTCAAAAATAATTAATTCATTTTTTCATTTGTTGTGATCGAAGAGCAAAGGGATAAGTCGATGCCACCCACGCGGGTGGCACCCATTTTCATTGTACACCTATCACACGCTAACATGTGGACATAACTCATTTCACTTTTATTTTTTTTTTCACCTTTAGTTCGAATTTCCAGATAGGCAAATTATATTTCAGCTTTTTTTTTTCATTTACCGGTGACTATAGTTGAGAACCATAGTTGCCAAACCTATTAGGTCTAAAATCATATTCAAATCATATCTGCGAGAGAACATCTGATTTCAGCTTTTTTTCATTTACCGCAAAAAAATTTCATCACCCGATTTCACGAGAGAACATCTATCTGCGAGAGAAATCCATTGCCCGCTGGCCCGATTGCAACATTCAACCCCGATTCACAGGTACAAAATCTTGGACGAAGTTCTTCACTATTTCATCGCCCGATTTCACAGGTAAAAGAGTTGGGGTTCTTTTTAGGAGGATAAAAGTTGTGATTTTGGAAATTAGTTCTGTGATTTTGGGGAATTAGGGTTCATCGCCCAATTGCAGCATTCAACCCCGGTTTTGTGTTTTCTATTAATTATTAGATCCATGTCATCATCTTTCTCTTAATTCTTTGCTTACTCTATTTTGTGTAGTACAAATTATAGCTGGGGAATTTGTAGCTGGGGAATTCGGGTTCTTTTGCTTTTCCTTCCTTTTTGTTTATTTTTTTATGTTTTTGGGTGATTCAAAGAGTTTCTTATGTCTAATTGCATGTTGTTTTTCCCATTTAAAGTTCGATTTTTGATCTGTTATTCTAATATAATGTGCTTATGGCTTTAGTTTAAAATAACAATCAATGTGAATATGCTAATGATTGTTGTCATATGTTTGACTTGCCATATAATCTTTATCCTTGAAATCTCCTAGGCACCAATGGTTTTCTTTCACGAGATCTTTGCTTTTAAGTTGTGCATTGACTACATTCTTTAGCTGCACATTAATGTTTTATCGTTATATGCCGTTACAATCTTATGTTCATTATTTGGCCAAAGTTTACTAACTTGTGAACACTTGCTGTTGATTTTCCTAATATATCTACACGTGCTATTCATTCGAATAATTGTATAGGAAATCTGGACCACGTTTACTTTTGGATTTCTTCTTGCAAATCTTTCATGTGATGCAGTCATTGAGAATTTGTTCCTTAGTGTTTTCTTTACACGTGTCTGTTAGCCATATCGGATGAGCCTACTAGGTATAATTGAATTTCGAATGTATGCTTATGTACCAAGAGTTTTGCTATGGAGCCATCGGATGGCTCGACTTATGGAGCAATCCACACTTATTCACCAATAATGTATTGACACGTGTCCTACAATAAATGCAATTTGGACAAGTGTCAATACATTAAGTGGTGGATGGCTCCATAAAAAAATCGTCCGATGGCTCCATAGAATTTTCGTGTACGACAACTAGCTAATAATGTTTTCATACCCGTTCTTTTGAGATAACGGTAAAATGTGAAGGCATTAGTCCATTGTTGTGTATTCCTGTGTCTCATTTTCTTTTTCTATGAAGCCACAACCCCTCGTTGGGTATCTATGCCTAAGTTGAACCCATCTTTGAATTGCTTATTTTATTCAAATATCAACACTGCGATTTTTTCTTGCTTGTTCTATTGATTGAGTTTGGATTTGGGTATCTAGTTATTGCTTGAATAATAACATTCCAAATTCAAACTTTATTTTTTTGAAGGTTTGAAAATGTCACAGACTTCAACCACTAAGAAATTTGAAAGACCAAGTAGACTGAAGTATGAAGATAAAATATGTGACCAATGTGGAATCAAACTTGCAGTTAAGATTGCTGGCTCTCGAAGTCCAAATTTTTAGAAACTCTATTACTTTTGTGATAGAGATGGATTTATTGGTTGGGCTAATCCAATAAATGAAGAAGAGTAAGCATAAGGGAAGAAGTTAGCACAAGCGAGAAAGCTATAGTGGATTGTGAGAGCTACAAAGATGTGAAAATAAAAAAAAATATAACAAAAAAATAAAAAAATAAAAACTTGATAAGATTTTTGATTTATTACTTGTGTTATTTCTAGTAGTAATTGTAATGCTTGTTATCATTGTAATGAAATAAAAGAGTTGGTATTTTTACTACTTGGACATGAATAACTATTTTGTGATATGAAGGAAATGAATAGTTTTTTTTTTCGTAATGTTCCATTTATTTTTATTTATCTTTTCTCTTAACAAGTTGGTGTAAAGAGTTTCAGAGCTCGCTGGTATTTTATTTCTCATTTTTTCCCTTGGATAAGTTGGCGGCAGATTGTGTTTGTCAGTTGTTTACAATGTAGCATTCTTCATTTTTCCCCTTGGAATTGGATTGAAAGAAAGAAAATTGTTTTTGTAATGTTTGGCATCACAAAACACAACACAAGTCTACACATTCCCCTATTTTTTTGCTCTTACCTCAAGAGAGGCATAAATGGAAAAGAAAATTACATTCAAAGTGCACCAGAAACAAAATGTAGTAAAGCTATACACATATATCAGAACAATAATCTTATGTAGTCTTCTTTAAAATCATTGTTGTTCCACAATAATGCTTCACAAAAAACACCTTTAATGCCATACAACCAAAAGTCCATACAAAATACGTAACTCCAAACAAAATCCATAAGAACAATACACAAAATGAATGTCACTAACAACACTATTACACCACAATAAAGAGTCAATCTAAAAATAGATGAGACAATGCATTTGCTAACATCGAATCACCAGTATCTTCAATTATCGGAGGGTCCCTACAAAAAATAGATTAAAATGGTAAAGATTATAACATTATTCAATATTAATTTACAAAACAATAGATTTGGTGTGATGTACCTGTGATGAAAAGGGATCCACTTGATAACCAAAAAGATTAAATGGACCTATATTGATGTTTTCATCTCCACCCTGCACATTAAAAAATAAATAAATAAAAAAGTATTAATTTTATTAATATTCTTGTAGAACAAAGTAATAAAAGCATCATTTACCTCTTGATTTATGTTAGGCCAAAGCATCGGAGCCGAAGCCGGATATGGATAATGTGGAACATAATTTGAGGGGCATGTGTTGACATCATTTTGAGAAGATTGATTCGAGCCACCTAAATTAATGTTTCCACTTTCTCCATACAAATTAAAATAAAATAAATAAATACAACAACAACAACACACCCAGTATATTCCCAACAAGTTGGAGTCTGGGGGGTCAGTTGTACGCAGACCTTACCCTTGTAATTATACAAGGAGGCTGTTTCCGTAGCGACCCAAGGTGCATTGCGCCGTTTGATATTTTTTTTTTCTAGAAACTTCACTAATAGAAGAAGCACTAGAATTTAATTGAGCCATTTTGATCTAGTCCATTATTAGCACTATGCCAGGAGAATTGTCAACAATGACTCTTCCAGCTCCATTTGCAATTGACAAAAAAATAAAATAAATAAATAAAGTATTAATTTTATTAATATTCTTGTAGAACAAAGTAATTGAAAAATTACTTATCCCTTGATTTATGTTAGTCCAAAACATTGGAGCATGAGGTGGATAATGTGGGACATAATTTGGCACTCTCATGTTGACATCATTTTGAGAATATTGAGTCGGGCCACCTAAATTGATGTTTCCACTTCCTCCCTACAGATTAAAATAAAATAAATAAATTAGTAATATTCTTGTAGAACAAATTAAAGAAAACATCATTTACCCCTTGGTAGGAGGTGGATTGTGGACACGGACATTATCTTCATCAGCCAATTCATCACATGAATCGTCCATGTCCAAATTCTTCAAAAGAGAAGATATTTCTTCATTTGCTTCTTCAAGGATTTCAGTAAACCTACTTCTCGTCTCACGGTGAGATTTGCTTAGATGAACCAAGTCATAAGAGGTCCTCATTGCATGGTTCACAAACGTCAACTCAAAAACACCACCATTTCCATGAGGAGTATATCCTCTTTCAAATTCATTACAAA